CTGAAGCGCCGCGCACAGCCCTCTGGTACTCCTCCCGCTAAGCCTACTGGCGCTCGTCCGTCTGGCTCGCCTCCATCCGGCACTCCTCCTTCTGGTACCCCTCCTGCTGCTCATTTCAACGCTGCCGCTCAATCTGGTGTACCTTCAGGCGCTCGTCCCACTGGTGCTCGCCCATCTGGCATGCCCAGCGGTCCCGTTCCTTCGGGAGTTCGCCCTACAGGACCTCCTCCCTCCGGTATGCCCAGCGGCCCTGCGCCTACTGGCTTCGTCACCTCCACCATCCGTGGCGCATAGATTGCCACTCAAGCATTCGGTATTGGGGACGAGATCCTTGTTGACTTCAGCTGACAAGACCGGATCTCGACTCATTAAGCATAGCATTGAGCTGAAGGTTCTTGTACTTTTTGCTTTCTATTGACATTACCAACTGTTACACTCTTTGATCGCGCTGGCTGCATTGGGGGTGCTTCGTAGACTAGGAAATTTCATTCCATTCGCTTCTTCAATACATGCTCCTCGTGCATCTTCGCTCGACAGGTGATAAACTAACAAGAAATTCTCATCATTTACAGTTTAAATTGTAGCCATTAGAGATCTTATTAAGTCGCGCAGTACTTGCCAATCATAGCTAAATGACTCCCTGCTTTTAGCCTCTTAGATCGCTTTGCTTCTTGAGAACGGGAAGGGTTGAACGGAATTATATCTGAATCACTCGCATGTCAGATTGTAATCTTTAGAGATATTGTTGAGTTGCATAGTGCCCGCAAATCATGGCTGAGTATCTCCCAAAATCCGGAGACGCTGACGGTTCTCCGTGAACAGGGTATGGAGTTGTTGGGGTCTAGCTCTTAGGCTGGTGATATGTTGCAGTAGGTTCTGGTTACTATCTGGCTTCGCTTGATTGCTCATGCTGCATGAAGCGGAAGGGAGCTCTGACTAGGTAGCTGTGGGCAGTTTTGGATTAGCGCGTGCGCGGGAAGTATGCGAGGATTGCTTTCATCTTGGGATACTCGTCAGTCGTGATCATGGCAACCAGAGTAAGGCGTAAGGATCTAAGTCGGTATGTACTACTATGGCGTAAGTTGCGAGTTGCGTGGTCGCAGAAACGGTCAGTCAGACCTGAGAGAGGATACAAGACAGAAAGAAGGGTGAATGACACAAACACGTCACATGCTGTAGGTCTGATATTCTGCTCTGCCTTTTTACTCGGGTGTTATCTCGCTGATTGTGCGTTAGCCGAGGAGTCGCAAATGAGAGAGTGTGACGCGGCGCAGAACAGAGGAACTGGTGTCCAGCTTAGCGAGACTTTGAGGCCTTCTTTGGCATGGCTCCCCGCTCACCTTCACTTGCGTTTGAAAATTCGGATAGTGCCTCCTCGCTCACCTTTACTTGCATTTGAAAATCTAGGTAGCAAGCAGCGCTAAGACCTCACACCAGGGAAGTCTTATTCAAAGCTTCTTGTGTCGTCACCTTGATTACTGGTGCGACACTGATCCACTACGTACGTCTCTTGTGACGATAGTCATTCAAGTCTCGGTTAAAACTCAACTCACACTCTACAGTCCGCAGCTCGCAACCGGTAGCCTGCGGCGCTCAAAGTCTGACACTCGACTTGGACCCGCAGCCCGCACCCTGCCGCGCCCGATTCATTGAATCAGACTTCGTATTACATCAAATATCGCCGAATTCTTCTATACATTCGTTCGCCCACCAAAAGCTCCGTGTCTTCGATAAATCTACTGCATTCACCTACACGTCATACTCGACGCCCTGGCTGTGCGTTGCACTCTGTCAACTCTTCTGTCAACATACATTCGTCATCGCAGCTTCGAGCAGTAGACTGACCACTGTCGTGATGGCCGAGGAACATTCAGCACCCCCCGACGAGACGAACACAGAGGCAGAAGGACCTAAGGAATGGAACATGAATGACTTGCTGGCAGGGTTGAACTTCGAATGGCTGAAATGGTACTCACCCTCAGCCGAACAGTACCCAGGGGAGATGTGGCTCATTGAAGGTACCTATCGACCTCATGGAGATCTATCGAACGAGGAGCCTCCCTTGTTTTGTCGCTGGAATTCGCGTCGGTCTAACGTACTAGGATGGCGAGGGTGAGGCGCAGCATCCGAAGAAAGATGACGACTGGTAGGATAACGGCCTCTCGAGTTCGTCTACCCGTTTCACGAGCTCCGCATATCAAAACAGTCTAGACTTCGCGCACGAATGAGTGTCGTTGGCCGGGTGCTATTCAAGAGCCGGAACCCTGACTTGAACGTGCCGTGGCCAGCAGACATAGCGCTCGCAAAGCTCAAAGTGTACAAGCGCGAATGAGGATACAGGATCCAGGAAAAAAGAGTGGTTGCATCGGTCTTGGGTACCCACACACTATGTCCTTTCTGTTGCGGCAGACGTAGCCGCTGTATAGTCGATGGAAACTGCGCTGAGTTGCTTGCTAGCTAGGAGGCGACCATATATACATGCCCTGAGACGTGCTAGACCAAGGTAGTCAACAGAGGTGACGATCAAGGCCTGTCGGACCGACTTGCACCGCAACACTTTCTGCTATCGGCACTTCTCGCGTTGGAACAGATGCTGATGACTCCTGCGTCTGGCCCCGGTGTTTGTCACCTCCAACAAAACAGGACTCAGGAATATGATAGTGCTGTTAAAGGCCTTTGATTTGCAGAGAGAGACTTAGCCATTGGTCGCCAGGTCTCTCTCTATACTACTTCAATTTCCTAGAAACATTCGAATGACACGATATTTCAGAAGTAACGCTGGATCAGAAATGCATAAGTAAATTGCATGGATACCATTGTCTTAAGGGTAACCTCTTCACACGACGCACCGTGCGTCGTTCGCATAATTCGTAACGTATTCCACAGGCGAGCGCCGCACACGGGCGAGCGCCGCACCCCACCAAACTTGCGCACCTCTCTCATCTCAACGTACAATGGCTCAACGCAGCGCTACTCTATTAGCTTCAAATGAAGCAGACGTTCAGCTTGCTATCTCCTCTATCAGTTCCCATCAAATACAGAGCAATCGCAGGGCTGCTACTATCTTTAGCGTGTCTGAACGAACAATCCGCCGCCGACGCGCTGGTATACCTGCCCGACGCGATTGCCAGCCCAACTCAAAGAAGCTCACTGAGCCAGAGGAGCAGGTGATTATCCGCCATATATTGGATCTAGACCAACGTGGATTTGCGCCTACGTACGCAGCTGTACGTGATATGGCTGATAAGCTGCTCGCTGCGCGCGGCAGAGGACGCGTAGGAGTTAACTGGCCATCTACCTTTGTCAAGCGTACAGACAGTCTCACAACGCGTTTCAATCAAGCGTACGATAGACAGAGAGCTCTATGCAAGGATCTAGCCCTAATTAGTTAGTGGTTTGAGCTTGTAGAGCAGATAAAGGCTAGGTACAGCATCTATAATAATAATGTGTACAACTTTAACAAGGCAGGCTTTATAATAGGCAAGATCACAACTTAGCTTATTGTAACAGGGTTAGAGAGGAGAGGTCAGCCAAAGGCTATTTAGCCAGGCAATTGCAAGTAGGTGACGTTGATTGCTGCAATTAACGCTGCTAGCTGGTCAGTACCACCATTCCTTATCTTTGCTGGCAAGTATCATCTATCTGCCTAGTACAAGGAAGCAGAGATCCCACGCGACTAGGTAATCGCAGTTAGCGACAATGGCTGGACAAATAACAAGCTAGGAGTAGAGTGGCTGAAGCACTTCAATGCTCACACAAAGACTTGCGTTGTTGGTGTGCGTTGCCTGCTCGTCCTTGACAGCCACGAGAGCCACCACTCTCTTGAGTTTCAAGAGCTCTGCAAGGAGAACAATATCTATACGCTCTGCATGCCGCCTCACTCATCCCATCTACTGCAGCCGCTTGACGTTGGCTGCTTCTCGCCGTTGAAGCGCGCGTATAGCTGTGAGGTTGAGAGCCTCATCCGCCACTATATTAACCATATCACCAAGCTTAAGTTCCTGCCAGCCTTTAAGGCAGCGTTTAGTCAATTGTTCACCTCAGCTAATATCTGCTCAGCCTTTCGAGGTACAGGCCTTGTGCCTCTCCAACCAGACGCTGTGCTCTCAAAGCTTGACGTGCAGCTACGTACACTTACTCCAGATACTCTGCCAGAGGCCCTCTGGGAGGCTCGTACACCAAGCAACGTACGCGAGCTTGAGGCTCAATCAACGTTGATACGTGATCGCGTGCGCCGGCACAAGAGCTCATCACCTGCCTCAATTATTGAAGCAATTAACCAGCTTAAGAAGGGCGCTAAGGTGATGATGCTCTCAGCTGAGCTGATGCGTGATCGGATCACCAGCCTTGAGAGAGCCAATGAGGCAGCGTCAGCACGCAAACAGCGTAAGAAAAAGCGTATACAGCAGAGTGGGGTCTTAACAAAGGGAGCTGGAGAGGATCTACTCGCTCAACGTGAGGCTGACCAGCAGATTGCTCGTGAGCAGCGTCAAGGAGGAGATCAATCAGGCCTTAGCCACCAGGCTCTAGCGCGCTGCAGGAGGTGCAGAGAGACTGGCCATAATTCACGTACGTGCAAAGTAGATACTTAAGATACTGCTTTATCTACTCTATTAATATATATATACATTATAATAACGTTGTTAAGTTAGACGTTAAATAAGGTGCGTAAGTTTGGTGGGGTGCGGCGCTCGCCCGTGTGCGGCGCTCGCCTGTGGAATACGTTATCGATAATGTCCATTCCATCGATGGCCCAATGAACCAGACCGGACTCCCGATACACAATAAACATACATCATTCATCACCTTCCTCTTCGTCCATCGTATTCTCCACACAACCTATCGTCTTTACGATATTCGCTAGCATTATGGTGTCTCCCTGTGGGTCATGAACCGTCACATCAGGCGCGCCGAATATAGCCATGTACACACTACTGAGTGGAAATCCACCTTTGAGAGGGTCTCTGGACATGTTGCGGCACAACTCGAGGATATTGACTAGCTGATACGTTTTGAAGTGGTCATCTCACCAAAGTCCACCAGGCGGTAGTAGAGAGGCTCGTTGTTGCCATCCATGAAATGTCGGAGAACAACGCATCGTTACCGCTGCCAAACGACAGGAAACAGTGTGTTTGCGGATCGAATCCACACTCAAGGACCTCATGCCGCATCTCTGTGAAGATTTTGCCGACCAAGGTACCCTTCTTCCCCCAAACCTTCTTGAAAGCAGAGGGCGCCCTGACCATCATTAGCACGTGGGTGAATTACGGGGAAGAAAAGACTGATTTGCCTGTAGAACTTACGGTGCTCTGAGAAAAGGCAACAGCGGGCTGAAAGCAAACTCGTTGTACTTATCAAGCACTGTATCCACTGTACGACCGGGATAGCCTACCTGATTATCCGTCGTCACAATTTCCACATTATAAGACAACCGTCTGACGGAGATGTCGTACGCCAGTGCCGTCACTAATGGGAGGACTGCGATGTGTTCACAGTCGAATAGGAAGATCTTTTCAGGGCATGGTCGAACAATACCGCGAAGGAATGCCCAATGCTTCCACCACTTGGACTGTGTGGGTGGGGGTGCATTCAATTTGCGTAGAGCGTGCGAAATATGTGGCAAAATATTGCCAGAAACCCTTCTCGACGGCGTTAGAGCAAAGCGGTTGCACCACACAGAGACCATCTGCGGTGTGGAGGAGGGGTAAGGACTGCGACCGGATGGACCTGAGGCTGACATTTAATTCGAGAGGTTCGTCGTCGAACTTGAAGTCGTACACGTAGATCTGTCAGGCGTAAAGAGTGAGCTGACAGTTACGCGCTGAAGTTGCATATAAGCGCAGCAGTAAGAACGACTGCAGGAGGCAAGCAACAAGATTTAGCTGCTGCAGTATTGCGCTACTGTTGCTCAACAGAAGTTCGTTAGGTGTAGGTGTCGTTGTTAGGCGTTGTTATTGGCAGGCGTTGTTATTGGCAGGCGTTGTTGTCAATTAGTGTGGCTGATACTTCGTACATTCTAAGGCTGCTTAACGTTATGTAAAGATTTCACAAAGGGATCTGGGCAATCAGAGCAATGTTTGACATACCTAGCCGATCAGAGGTTTCACTTTCTGGTCCCTGGGAATCCACCCTAACTGAACGTAATCGCTTTCGCACGACCGCCTCAGGGACATGCGAAGAGATGTAAGGGCTAGCGCTGGATTATCACAAGATTCGTATCAATTCTCATCAATTATCGCGAGGCGGTCGTTGACACCGCTTCAGCTGTGTTCAGGACGGCCGACCGAAGTTTAACGCACTTCCACAAGCGTGCTGTCACGTCGTTCGAGTGACACTGCTACTTGCCCTCAGGCTTGTATTCTTCGAGATGCGTTGTCTGGAAGTGGACTTGCGTTCAGATGTCATTGGGGAGTCCACACTTGCGGGTGAGATCTTGCACATCGATCGGCGCCCGTTTGATAGCGCGCTTGATTGAGATGTTGTGAGCTGGGTATTCATGAATCATCGCTGGCCTAACGTACCGGTAAAGCACGTTAGATAAGAACAGGATCTTTGCACAGGGCTCTCTGCCTATTATACAGCTAGTTGAAACGCGTTGTAAGACTGTCTGTACGCTTAACAAAGTTGCGTGGCTAGTGGATGCTGACGCGACCTATGCTGTGCGCAGCCAGCAGCTTATCAGCTATATCACGTACAGCTGCATACGTAGGCGGAAATCCACGTTGATACAGATCCAGTGTGTAATATTTAGTTACCGTCTCTTCTAGCTAACTCAGCTTCTTTAATTTAGGCTAGCAATCGCGTTCTGCAGGCTTGCCAGCGCGTTAGTTGCGTAGCGTAGTTTCAGCAACGTTGAAGACTGCAGCAGCGTGTTAGTTACTCTGTAATTAGCGTGTACTAAGAGATAAGATAGCAAGCTGAATATCTGCTTCATTTAATGGCAATTGAGTAACGTGGCGTGGAGCCATTGTACACTGAGATTGAAGAGGTGGGCAAAGTTGGTGGGATGCGCGACTCGCTTGTATGCGCGGCTCGCTTGTAATCTACGTTAATTATACCGTAGGCTTGTTGAGAGGAGTAAGTACGGCACAAATATGGGCATGGGAAAGGAACACAAGTCCCGACCCAGGATGTAACGAGAGGAGAGTTGTGCCGTTGCGAGAGTTCTTTCATGCGACACTTGGCTTACTATTAGGCATGCTGAACGTTGTGCTCCCATGGATAATGATCATGGCCCAGACAGCTGTCAGTGCCAAGATCAGGACCTGAGTTGCGCTGGGATCCACCGTCTTCCTCCACGTCCCGAGCTTTCACATGCAGCCAGCTGCCTGCGCCAATACAAGTACTGCATCACCATACGTGCATAACAAAGCAATGCTTCTCATGCTGAATTAGCCGTTGTAATTACAACCTGATTCCCATCAATAGCAACTTCTGTAGTCCCGGGTATGCGCGATGGGAGTTGTACAGATGGTGTGAGAATGCCCGTTAGTCTCGTCTAGAACCTGCTCTGATTAAGTGAGAGCCGGATGTTGGAGTGATGCCGTGCCACTGCAGCGCACCACTCGTACGGCTCTTGATTGCTAGCGGTAATTGCGGACACGGTTCAGCATGGGGGACCTTGTGCTTGCTGTGCTGTGTAGATCTGTGATCGAGACGCGCGGCAGGATGCGGGCTGCACGGCTCCTCCGCGGGCGAATGGGAATCGCGCGCGATGCAGGTGGAGTGAAAAGCAGGCGTATGGCTGCAGAAGCGCTTTCGGATGATATCCACTGAAGTGACATGGGACGGATCGGTCCTGGTAGACCCTGTAAGTTACCTCGGCAGAAACAGCCGCCATACCGGTAATATGATTGGCCAGCGCAACGCTCCTGCGCTCCTAAATCTCCTCTCTTTCTACCGCGAATCAAGCACGATGGGTATTCTCCTTCCGGGGCCTCACTTCGGTACGTCTCGGTGCGGCAGCCTCCCTGCAGTATGATCAGCGTCAACTCTCCTGCATTGAAGGAGATGTCGCACCAATCGAGCGCGGGTAATTCCAGCAGCCGTCCTCGTCGCTGAGGTTTGCACGAGCTTCGCTGCGACTTGAGCTACTCCGTGATCATGAGGGAGTTGCGATTGTTGTCGCCGAGGAACGAAGCTTCAAGGACGTGTGTTCTGCACGATCCTGCATGCTCACCTCAGTTCTGGCCAGAAGTGATCTTAGCATCCCTTGAAGATGATCAGTCTAAGATAGATAGGGAAGTCTATATTGCCCGTCAAGCGACCTTTGTTCGGACTCATATTTAGCCGCGCGACGGCTTCCCGTCAATACCTGCGCGACCGGTCCCTCATTCATCTAAGCCCGATCCCGGCGATTCGTCTATATCTGTGGAGGCCGTCATATATACTGCACGGTCTTCTACACACACGCGGCCCGTCTCTATGGAAAGCTCAAGCTCTTCGTCCCAGAATAGGGTGCGAGGGAAAGAATAAGGTCTAGCAGATGTTGATGTTGATGTTGATGTTGAGGACTGGTCAATCAGACTAAAGAGCGTAGATCATTTACTGCACGTTGTCAGATCATGCAGCCAGCAATGTAGACTGATCAATTTTCTATCTTTCGCAAGTCCCAGACTACAGATTTTGCACCGTAGTCTTGGGGATGGGCGCAACGTATGGCCTAGAGCAAGCTTTGCGTTGCTTCTTCAATCCTGACTTCTAATCCTGTCGTACTCAACATTGACGCACATGGTCTAGTATCATTTGCTCATCTCCTGGAGTACTCATTATGGTCACAGTCACGGCGGATATCAATGGCCCAATGGTAAATGGTTTAATGGCTTTAATAGTCACACACCCTGCAGCTATGACGATATCTTACTTTCTGCTGCATGGATACGTTCAGCGTACGACTTCATGCACATCATGCTGACGAGACAACCAGACACTATCGTTTCTATATGTATATGCGCGCAGGGGTATTGCTTTGGAGAGCACTTCATCGACGTAGGGGACATGCCTGAATCCTTATCTGGCATTGAGTACTTGGGCAGCAGCGAGACTTTTGACCTGTTCTCCGTATCACCGAGTAAAGCATCATCCCGCGTCGCTTCGCTAAAGGCATTGGTTTGGCCAAAGGTTACTGATCATCTTTAGAGCATTCGCTTGTGGATTATGCATGCTGGGCTATGGCATCGCCCCGGGCGTCAATTTAGTCTAAATCTGCACTGGCAACGTCGTGATCGCCTTAGCGGCGCCGTTCATGCTCATTACAATGCATGCGGCGTGATCGCTGATCAATGAGCTCGTGAGCTCGTGTCCGTGTGCTTGGACAGTGGACAGTAGGAAGCAGTGATGCTCTGGGCTGCTTTCTTGCTAAGGTGACCTGATTCTGTTCGTCGTATTTCATCCGTCCTCAGGAACTGCACTGAGTGAGTAAACGACTTCACTTGGCGATATGGACATAATGACCTGATAGATACATACATCTGGGCAAGATCGAACTTTTCCGCGATACCTATTTGTTTCTACCTCTTCGTGCCAGAAATGAAGGGTCGCAGTCGTAAGGGACCTGAGGAGCCCGAGGAAACCTTTGAGGCCAAGACGCCCGCGCGGAAATTTACGAGCAGCTACAAGTGTCAGGTCGTAGACGATTCAAGATACGGCGTGTTCGCGGACTGTGAATTGCAGCGGACTAAAGATAAGGCCTTGCGCGGTTCGGGAGTGCTTCCCAAATTAGGCAGGCGCAATTCCCTAGACATCACTCACAATTTCCTCCATGTATGTGCAATCTTGGGTAAACCGAATGAATCAAATTCGCAAGTCTACAAGCTCACTATGCTTGTGTTGCTGCTCTTTGTTTTCGAGTTCGGACTTTGTTTCCCGAATTCATCCATGTGCATCAACTCCACCTCATCGTTGTCTGCATGTCTGATCTCAAACGTCTTCGTGTATGTGATCTCGTTCACTCCTCTCCCACTCATTTGTCCCACTCTACTCCCTATTGTATTGCCCAGTCCTCGACTGCCGTCTCCGTATCCGTATTTCGCGTGGTAAGCCTGGCTTGACGCTCTGGTAGTGCCCATGATGCTAGGGAAGGCGCGGACGAGTATGACCCGGATCGTGGGAAGGCAAGCGCAAATGATACCGACGTTGATCTCGATGTTGGACCAGTTAACGACGCCGACTTGGTCCCATGTCGGGTTTGCGGAGGCGGCGAATAAGACAAGCGATTGCAGGCGGAGGCCAGATACGACCGTGACGCTGCAAAAAATTAGCGATCGTCGCGTGCAAACTCGGTGTGAGAACTTACAATGTACCCACAAGGAACATGACCGCCACACTTATCCTCTTGCGCCAGGATAGCTGCAGCCCGAAAACCTCATATAGAGGAAGCACTAGCATCCATATGTCGAGAACGATACTGATGATCGCATTACTCCACGCCAGCGCATTCACATCAATGCACTGCCCGTCCATGTGCTCCTTATCCCAATTGTCCCAGTAGTAACTGATTGGTCGACATTGAAAGATGGCAACGACCACGAATGTGAGGCCGTATAGTATGGTAAACACGATGGTTCCCTTCAGGAGATTTCTGATGATCGTCTTCGGGAAGATCCGCAGGAAGAAGAACAGAAGCGTAAGCTTCAACAGGGTCATCTGGAAAAAGTATAAAATCTCGAGAACGTACAGCCAGCGTACGAAGGCGGTTATTTGATCGAATGCAATAGTCCAGACATCTTGTCCAAGTCCATTGGGTAGTAATTCACGGTCGATCAACACCACGCTGGGGACACCAGCGAAAAGGGTCATGATGATGGTGTAGTCGTCCCATCCGAGCTCAGCCATGGAGTACAACGCTTTGTATACGATCCTTGTCAGGCCGCAGGCGACACTAACAACAGAAAGAACGATGTTGGCAACTCGGGATGTCTCGCTCTTGTTGCGCGGCGGGACATGACATGTGGTCGCAGTGACATTTTTCGTGACTGATAGAAAGTGAGCTGAGAGGTTCGCGTCCAAGACGGGTCGGAAACCTACCCAAAGATTCCTTGAGAGTACATGAAGAGAGCAAGCACGTTTGCACATTATCTTGCAACCGTGCATTTGTGCAAATACACGTGATGTTAGTAGCTCCGCATGAGGATTCCTGGATCGCGGCACCCAAGCATTCTTGCTATGCAGGTCAGTCTAAAGTCCGTCTGACAAGCTACTGATACTTACTGCACATGGTGAGAGCTGGGCAACGACTGCGGCTAATCCAGTTGATTGCCCGGATGATTGAGCGAGTGCAAACGATGTCCACGACAACAGTGGGAGCAATAATTGCAGAAATCGCATGATTGCAAGCGATCACATAAACACGGTCGAGCACCCAAGAATTTGGGCATCCAGGCGAGATCAATTCGAAAGGTTCTGAAGTCGTGACGGAATGGGCCCACACTAGAATAGGTATATCCGTCGAATCTCTTCTTAAGCGTTGGGTGTCAAAGGTGTCAGGCAAGAACCGGCGACGGGAAGTTAAACTCCCAAGGGGCCACCACCATAATGTGGAACCTGAAGTCCCAACCTAGACTTACGCGACCCAGAAGCGAGAAGGAAGCATCGGGCAGGCGTCAGCCTACGGTTTTGGGCCCGAATATAAAAAGTGGAGCAACGCTGGGCACAGCGTTCCGTTTTCGAGGATGATGCTGTAAAGTGAACCAATGTCTGGTATGTCGTGCAAAGATGATCCCAATCATACCCATTTGACGTCCCGAATTATTTGCCGCAGCAGTAGTTGCGTACGGCTCTTCCACCCCGCAGCCATCACGGCTGTGCTTTGAGCTGAAGCAACGTTTTGCCCTCCACAGATCGCATCAATCATGAAGCGAAATAGCGTGCAAGAAGGCTTTTCGCTATTGACGGGGATCCTTCTGTTTGATAAGCGGAACAATCCCTCGTCAGCAACAACGGGCAACGTGGTCAGTGAGATGCAGGGACGGGCTGCATGCAGACGTTCGCACATGGGGTGAACCTTGGTCGCATGAGCAGCTTCCAACCTTCGCGCACACCATAGGTAGTCACAAACAGCGGCATCCTCGAGCCGATGAAAGTACACAAAGCTATACGTTGTTCATGACGCCGTATGCTCCCGGCTGAACATTGGAATCCTTACGGGTCTGCGGGGGATCTGAGGTTGTTGACCGAGTTCGCGTGCGGCGCCCTAAGAACCCGGCGCTTGTACGCGTGGTACCCCTTGGCGCAGAGCTTTTTCAGGTAGATAGGTGTGTCTTCACACACCACCATCGCCCACCATATGCCCCATACCGATAGCGCACCGGATCGCCATCGATGTTCACATGGAAAGTGGCACCGTGAAGATCAGAAGCCGCGATTGCCCGAGCCAAACTTTAGTCGACTACTACTTCGCAGAGGCAGTTGCTCTCCGGACCACCAGCGAGTGCTGCTCTTTGACTAGCGCTGACTCGCGTAGCGCATATTGGAGTGAGCCGATCCCCCGTCCTCCGCTGTCCTTCGTAGGTCTCATCCGGGATCCAACGAGTCGTACTAGTCTATACCTAATAGCGGGATCACTTCGGTCTCATCTCCCCGATGATGGTACGTACTGCGCGTTGCAAGTCGAACAAGTCCTTCAGGCACTGCTGCTGCAACCCCTTTTGCCAGCCTTCTTCAGGGGCCAATTTATTGTTGAGTGCCAGAGACATTCCTTTACACACCATCATCTCGTCCTGAGCGGAGGTGGTCTAAGGCTGCAAGCCGCACTTCTGACTCTGTCACTCTGCGAATGCCGTTCGTCCGCGCAGCATCACAGTCGAGACCATGGGCAGAGGATCTTGCGCCGCCAACTATCGTTCAACGAAATGAACTCAATTTGTGAAGCCATCCATGTGTTAAGACTGGGGTTGAAACGCATGCCTGACGGCCTATCAGCCTTGTCGACGTTGCTCGAAACATGCCCAGCCAGTTAGAAGAGGAGCTGCCCTACGATCCAAGGAGCGTGCTTGCTCGCAACCTTGGAAGGTCCAGCTCACAAACCGCATCAGGTCGTATGAGCTTTGTATTTAAATGTCATCGGCGTGCTTGTCCATCGCCTGTGATACGACCACACGCGCATGGAGACCCGCCAGATTCACGACTGGACGCACTAGGAAAGTGCCGACGTACCGGTAGACCCAAGCTAAGACCAATAGCCGGACTGAAACAAGCGCAAAGTGGAACAATAAAGCTTAGTTACACCATGGCGATGCAGTTGGGCACGCTGTCGTATGTCGATCGCGTTTGCAAGAGGTCGTGCCCTGCGAACCTCGCGCCAGGTGCTCGGAATAATGCTTGTTTTTTGTATCAATCCCTACCTTAGCACAAGGACCGGCAGACCGTGCGGCGCAGATCGCCACGGCACCTCCCGTGCACATCACGACTCCAAGGTATTGTTGACAACAATCCAGGCACTTTTTCCGCCGTGTGCTTGTCGATCGTGTCGCGCAGCGCTTAAAATCGCAAATGCGATGATACACAAGAGGAAGCCACCGGCACCACCATCATGTTCCCTTCCGAAGCATGCATTGGGGCCAGAAGCACACTGCAGACGGCGCACTTAGGCACATACTGAGTGGATAGCACACTATCACGATGTCAGCCACATACATGTAAGTGGACTGAGAAAACTTCGGCCTGCAGGTGTGCAATACCCAAGTTTTTAACTCTGGCACAGGCTCTAGTCAGAAAGGGTCGAGGCTGGAAAGGAAAGCGCAGATTCATGCCAAGTAGCGATTTCATGCGTGATAGCATCCGTTGTGGATATTACTACGATTTGTCCTCCGGACATTCCAGACTTGCGCTCATCATCTGATCGTTGTCAAACCCGGTCTCACCTAGATTTGCCCTCTTGCGAGCGGAGAATTGCTGGCAAATGAAATTGACCATTGAATCTGACCAGTATCCTGTCTCGGTCTCCACTATAGTGTCTCGAGCTTTCTCAACTGGCTTCTGCTGCTTCTTGACGACTGTTTACCTCTCCTGCTTTTGTAGCTCGCCACCTCTAATGTTCTTCTGCTCAAGCCTAGAAGTCCATATACCGTTGTCTTGAATGCTCTTGGATTCCCAATTGCACGGATTCAGTGGTGCGCCCATCTTCGTGGCAAAGACGTCCTTGGCGGCGGGAGAATCTCGTTGTGGTGTCCCGTGTTAAAGCATTAATAACGCCATCGTAAACAAACACGAGACTACTCTTGACCTCGAAGTGTTGCAGCGTCATGGCAAGACCATGGCCGGTAATAGGCAGTGCGTCACTGCCCAAGGCTGATTTGGTCCATTGTAGGAATATTGTAGTTCCGTCGTGGAGAGAACAAAGGTGGGATCTGCCTTGTGGGTTGCAGGCAATGATCAGTTGCTGGGAAAGAACATACTGGGCGTCGATACACATATGCTGGAGTTCCTGACCAAAGCTTTCATCTGTTTGCGCTGACTGACTGGTAAGCGCGGCGCAATGAGCCTATGCTTGGCTGCGTACAGAATTGCAGCGGCGTTGGTGTTGGTGAGGCGCCAGCTATCACGTCGCCTGACTTCACTTGCCTTCCCTCATATTGCAGCTTCACTCGTCTCTGCCGCACAAAAAGAGCACCGTACTTGCCGCCTCATCCTGCTCCTTTCTTCAACTCTCTCAAACAATCCATCTCTCATCCCCAACCGACCTTTGCAGCCACCAACACTAGTGCCACTGTCATGAAGCTCACCACCGCAAGCATCCCCCTCGTCCTCCTGGCTTTTACCAGCGCCGTCCCCACCCTCTATCAACCTTCCCTCGTGCATTCGGAGACGGCACCTTCAACGTCTCGCGCTACACCTACGACCTCAACGACGACGCCAAGCTCGAGCTTGTGAACGCGTCTTCGCACTCCAGTGTCGGCAAGCGCGTAGTCTGGCCCATCGAGCACTTAAATGAGCCGGCTGTCGGCAAGGCCATTGAGAATGAGGTCAATCTCATCAAGCAAACGAATTGGTCATAGGCTGACATAGAAAAGGAAGTTAGTGATCCATTCTTGCTCACGCGTGACGCGCAGAACTTTTGAGGTTGGCCGGTGTGGTCAGGTGAACTGTCCGAGTACTGCCACTGTGGGGTTGTGCGGCAAGGTCAATTGTCCACCTCCTTGAGTTCTGGACGTCGTCAAGCCACTGGTATTTGGCTGAGAGGTCGGGATATCACTCAGAGCCTTCAAATAGAGACGTGAAGGCTTGGAAAACGTCGAATCAGCTCGGAAAGTCGCAAGAAGGTTAGCGTAGTTTGGGAGGATGAGGTGCCTGCTGAGTAGTAACAGCCTTCTGCGCAGAACGTGGGGATGTGATCGAAGATACAAACTGAGTTCTCGATTCGGGATTCCCAGCGTCAATGTGCAACAAAATTGATATGCCACTGTCTGCGCACACAAACCCAAGGCACGCTGGACTCGACCACATGATGCGAGCCTTGTTTTCTTCGCAAATTCGAGGGCATTTTTTCGACCCGTTGTTCAAGCTGACTGGACCTTTCTGTGTTGTTTTGTCAGGGCGCCCTACAACCGCCTGCATTTATCAAGTCGGGGAGAACCTATTGCAGATTCGTCCTAGTGTCGCCACGCGTTGAAAACAGCACTACTACTCCAAGGCAAAATATTGTTCACACACGGAAGCTACCATGATGTCAGTTTCACACTTTGCACACTAGAAGCTGGAGATTTGCCTATCTTCACGTCTGCTGATGACGTGAGAGGTATGCTGCAAGAATGAAGATGCAGCCTTGCATCCCCGCACCCGAAGTCCGAAGAACACGGGCCAATGACGGCTTGGTCGGAACACCGCGCCCGTAGATCCTCTTCGGCATATCTACTGAAGTTCTGCCAATGTACCTGTCTCTCATGACTTCAACTTAACTCACTTCCCAATCCCGTACGTCCCTGCAATCACCTCGGTGCATGCGCAAATGATGTCCCAAGCCCGCAACTTCTTTCAACGTTTCCCACCAGCAGAATGCCTTGCGCTGCTAATCGCGACTCTCGAGCTCGTCCCGTTCGGGATTGCAGGTCTTAATAATCCGATAGCATTCGCAGATGGTTTCGGCCTGCCTCTTCTACCTAGCTCTAGCACACCCTCGAGTACATCAAAACAAAGCGCAGATGAACCATTCACAGGATCTACAACGCAGTCCTCATCAATGACCCTCACCCCGTCCGAAGAAGATCAGAAGACAAAGAAGGCATTGGTGGCCGCGATCGCAGCGCGCAATGTACAGAATGGCATTTTGCTGTTCACTTTTGGTCTCGTATTAAGAGATCGGAGAAGTCTGGGTGTGACTGTCGCGGCGGGTCTGATCACCACACTTGCTGATGCGGTGATCGTCAATGCTTACGGCGCGAAGAACAAAATTGCGGGTCATTATGTCGGAGTGTTCAACAGCCTTGCAATTGGAGGAAGCTTGCTTTACTGGGGACGCCACGACCCCCTCTGGTAAGAGGGTTGCGCAGAGAACACAAGAGAGAAGAGAGAGAAACGTTCTCCGACCGTGGCCTGCGATGGCTTTGCTCGTGATGAAGGAAATTGGACGACGGAAAGCAGAGAGTCAAGGTGCTGGTCATGATCGATGACTGCACAGTCTGCATTGGTACTGCGACCATGGCATGTGGGGGATTACGGCACAGAGCAACAACGGATACCGCCACTGTCGCTAATATTTTGAAACCATGCGCAACATCTCTTAGACACGCTGTTGTCGGAGCAAAAGTCATCTTCTACTCCGTGAACTTATTAGGTATAGACCACGACAGATGTCCTGTGAGGGGATATACCGTGGCTTGTAGGAATTGTCTCGTTTGGACATCTCTCTCATACCACCTCTGTGCTACACGAGCATAGCTGATAAAATATCACCTCTGACCGCCAGGGTCGAAATCATCAAGAGTGAAGTGAAAGCCTAAGTGTCGGTCTTTGCTGCAACACCTTGAGGCTCTCTCCCAGACGCAATACATGAACGGGCTCCTTGCATTCCATGTGATATCCTGCGTACAGCTGAGTAGCATTGTGACTGAGGTCCATTTGATGCTGGCAGCAGAAACCTACGCCTTGTTGATTTTGGTGCCACACAAGCTAAGCTTCAGCTCTTAAATCAATGCTAACCGTACTCAAAGATGCAGTTCAAGAGTTGCTGCCTAGTGCACGATGGACAGAGTCACAGTCTTGAATGAAAATGGAAGCTATTCAGATGAAACTCAGCTATGATCGGGTATGCCACACCAACTTTGATGACTACACAGTATGCAAAGACTAGACTTGGGTGCAGCATGTTGCAGTCCAGCTTCAATGGTCAGCAGCAAGGCCCTTCTTCCTCAAGATTCGATTGGGTATTTTCACACGTCACTGTCCTGCTAAAGTGTCAGCGTATGATTCTCGGCGAGAGCAAAACATCGGCATCCTACCTCCCCGCCGTCACAAACTTAAGTCTTCGGTCGCGTTCTTGACAACAAGCTAGAGGTTCCTGAGTCTAAGCGCCCACGCTGTACTCTTCTAGGTCTCATTCTGTGCGTGGAAGATAGAGTTAAAAAAACTGCGTGCAGTTAGAGATGAAGGAGATGCAGCTAAAGCAGACGCAAGCAGACTGGAGACTGAAAGAGATGCAGCCAACGCAGAAGAAACAAAGCGGATTGAAGAGAGAGTTTTTCTCCAAACCTGGATGGGCGAGCTCACTGGAAAGGAAGCTGAGTACTGGGATAATACTCCACGTCGCCCCTATTGGACTTAATTGTAACCAAGTGGCTCAGATCACATGATATCCTATTGTAGCAGGCACTGCCCGGTGGGCAAGTGCACTTACCTAAGAGCTGAGAGCTTGTGTAACACAACATCACGACATCACGCAACACGACAACGGATAGCAATACAATCGTTGATCACAGTCTCTTACTGACACTGCTCACGTAGTTACAAACAAAGACTAGATAGAACAAAAGCAGAAGCAAATACAAGGTCGAGCTGGTCTTAAGCATGCCCTTACTCGGGAAGCGATGCCACTGAGAGGCATCAGAGCTGCACGTCACGTCTATAGACCATTTCAATAGTCTTGAGAGTCCTTGAGCTTCCTTAGTTAAGATATAGAATAATTTTCGAGCCTCCCAAATGCCACCAAAAAGCATAGTGGAGCCCCGCCCAAATTGACCACATTCCTGTGTGCTGAAGTCGCGCCCTTTGTCAAGCAAGCAAGCGTGCACATTTCCCTTCCGCAATAGCTGAATTCCACCGGCACACCGCAAGATTGTACCAGTTTGTGTAGCCAATGTGGTCTAATCATCGACCGCAAATACGACCAAAGAGCAACTTGTAATCAGACCGCACCATAAATGCTTTCCAAACAACTGCATGCCATGCTTGGGCTCCGCTTCGTAGATGTCCTTTCGGTTGTCAGTCTAATCTGTTCGACCGTACTTGCTATGCCAATTGCTTCCACGCTTTTCGACTATGACTGCGCTGTACTGCTGTTTTCCGCCTGCAGCTTCTGTGAGAGGCTTGCTCGCTTCTGCTCTAGTTCAGTCTTGTCTATTTGCAGCTGCGCCTTGTTGCCCTTTCCCGTACCTAATTGTCTCTTTTCTTCGATAATTGCTATCAGCAAAGTCTCCATTGTTTGCTGAAGGGCCTGAACACGTTTATTCAAGGCAAGCATCTTGGCTCTTGCGTTGTCTTGTCGGGAGTCAAGTATCTCTCTGGTGAGCGGCCGTCGTTGAGTATTTGTCGTATCTGCTGTGTCGTCGTCGACTTCGGCATGTTTTCTAGTGATTTTGCATGAGGCCAGTCGAAAGATGTATGTTGACTGGATTGCGAGACCTACCAGCATGATTGCTCGCCGAGACCGCGCCAGTTTCATGGCTTTGGTAAGCAACGCCCTAATACCTGCCGCCGATGACTCGACTGAACAAATCTATTGTAAAATATGTACAAGATTCCAGTAGATTCAGCAATTTAGGAGTCTGGCATGACCTCGGTGGGCTGTTGTAGAAGAGGACGGTTGTGTAGTGCCGCCACTTGCTCCTTCATCAAGTCTATGGCACCCGTGTAGAATGCCGACATTCCATTTTGTTTCAAGTGAACCCATGTTTTAGATGGTAGAAGAACGTGGCAATTGCTTGCGGTGAACTTTTGTGAAAATTGTATTTTAGGCAGACAAAGAGCAGTAGTGTTCTACTGCACACGCTTCACCAGCTGTACCGCTGAACAGACGCAAAGGGACAAATTTAGGTAGCAAGTTGCTATACTAAATTAGCTCGTGATAATAACAGGACATTTTATACTGAAAGTGAGTATAACAGAATACTACAACTATCGTACGTTCACGTTTTCACCTTGCGTACCAACTCAACACCCACACCACGGAACATGTGCTCACCAAACAGAAGGAACTTTTACAATGAACAATGAACATGTCTTCTCTTGTTCTATAAACCAAAACAGTAAGTCTGCCAAGCTTCGTTCAACTTCTTCCTGGCTGTTTCATCAGCTTCATCATTGATAAAGCGCATCACAGCGTGAGTGCAAATACTTGTCTCACTCAAGCTACGAAAGCATGTGGTGCACTCAACTTACCAGAGACGCGCCTACCCGTTCGCCGCAGCGAGCCTCCCTCCCCCATCCACCCATCGGCATTGCGTCTGGCACGACTGGGTATCCTGGTCCCTGAGTCGCAGGTCCACAGCTTGTCCCTGCACCACTGCACAGCTGCGAGATGTGGCTCTGCATTGGAGCACTGCTTTTCGTCACCTCACTGTTACTGTAGGTATCTTGTAGTACTCAAGCAACGTAGATTTCATCTACTCTTGAGTAGACACTGTTAGACCTACCAGCTGAATACTACGTCGTAATGCTGCTGCGCGGGCCAATTGCACAAACCGCCTCCCTTTCCCCTCTGAGCTACGAATTCATGGAGTTATCTGGCTATAATCTGCAAGTACCGCGCAATTCAATAAGTATTCTAATGGCTAGAATTCGACCTGTACATGATGGGAAGGGTTTGTCAGCTTGTTACCTATCAAGTGCTCCCTCCCCCCTCTGAGCTTCGAATTTAGGGAGTTCTCTAGCTATAATCTGCGAGTTTCGCGCAACCCAATAAGTATTCTGATGGCTACAATTCGAAATGTGAATGATTGAACTTTTGTTTTAGCTTGCTACCTGTCAAGTGCGGCATCTTGGTCCCAATCCTCGGATGGTAGCTGGTCCGTCCTTTTCCAGGTGTAACAAATTTGCGCGTATTAGTATGTGGTATTGCCGGCTGCATATGGCACATGCCCAAATTCTGGATAGTTGCACTTGCGGGCCTTTCGCAAAGCCCCAGAAACTTAACTGGAATAGGCTGGGTCCAGGGCACGCGTGGTCATAGCGGTGACAGTTGTCGCAGGAGACAACTGCGGCTCGACTTTCACGTTCGTTTCAACGATTGCCGACTGCCTGGAGACATCGCTGCTACCAGGCCTCACCCTTGCACAACGCTGCTGTTCTGGTGGAAGATCGTCACCGTCAGCTTGGTGTGGGCGTTTCTGGCAGAAAGAGCTCTCCAGACTTTGAGAGGCATTGGGGGTGGTAGAGAGGTTGCTGATGTCTCGATGCGGTCTTGCATGATATTGTGGTGAGACCGAAAGGATGCGCACGTTGCCGTTCAACATGACGGTCTCCATACATGAGCAAATGATCTCATGTAGCGCTGATTTGCGTATCGGCGTTGAGTGGAGGGGTCATCGTGTAGAACTGCCTCATCGCTTCCCGGTGGACATCATCCTTAGTAGATTATGTCCTGGTGGCGCGATGAGTGTCCAGACTTAAGACGAATGGAATACTGAGCTCTAGGACGGCTAGTACAGCGGGCTCACCAAGGTGAGCCATTTGGTCTGGATGTGTGCAGAACGAGCGTTATGTGCTGATACGAAAGGTGAGTTATGACGGTGATGAGTGGAATCGGTGTCTTACCTGACAAGAGATGCGTCAGTCTAGTATTTGCGTCGGGCATCGGTTTCTCAGAAGCACACGGCACTTGGAAGGCGTATTGTTGTGGAAGGCGTATTGTTGTGGAAGGCGTATTGTTGTGGAAGGCGTATTGTCGTGGGAGGCATGTTATTTTGGAAGTCGCAGTGGCCAATATATAACTACACGCTTCGCGTCTGCTTACTAAGAATCCCACAAGCGAAGCAACTGCCTTCTTCCATATCTGTTGGTTCTCGATATGACAGGCCACACCGTGTATCCACCCTCTCGCGCATGTCAATCTCCCTAATCCTCAAGCACAAGCTTGTAAGTCGCGACCTCAAAAGCTCTAACCTCGATCGCAACACCCTTGCCCTGCCCACCCTCTACGTGTACCATCTGGCCTGACAGATCCACCTCCTCGTCCTCCAGAGCGTTTGTCTTGACAACCCTATTCACCTTGACGCTGCCCCAGGTAAGCACCGCCCTGCTGCGCCCACCCAGCGCATCATACACCCTCACGATGACAGAGTGGCCCTTCTTGACCGGCAGCTCGCCGCGTGAAACATCCTCGTCGTCTTCGCCGCGCTTGATAGTGTCGAGAATGAGGTTGTCAGCACCGATGATCTTGAAAGCGCTCAAAACACCGGGCTTCACGTCCCTTACGCCCGCGAGGTCGGCGGCGGCGGAGGGCGCCTTGTGCCCGATGACGCGGAGTGGGTTGTTGAACTCGAAGGCTTTGCGGACCGTGGCGTGGGTGAGTGGACCGGCGTGCGGGAAGATGGCGTACTTGGTAGTGTGCCTTCCCATGTCTGCATGGGCGTCTGGAGCCTTGGGCGCGCGGAGTAGACTCAAGCGCATCACGTTGCCGGCAACAGCAAAGCCGTACTTGGAGTCGTTGAGGATCGAGACGCCGTACGTGGCTTCAGACAGATCGGCCCATTTGTGCACGCAGACCTCAAACTTGGCCATGTCCCAGGTCGTGTTGTAGTGGGTGGGGCGGCGGACGATGCCGAACTGCGTCTCGTAAGATGCCTCGGTGTTGGTGATGTCGACTGGAAATTCGACCTTCAGGAACTTCATTGTCTCGTGCCACTCGATCTCGGCTTCGATTTCGATTGCGCTCGGTGAATTGCCGATTGCGGCTGGCAAAGAGAGAGTGGTAGTGATCCACGACTTGTCCGAGATCTTGGTCTCAATGGTGAGGGATACCTTGGCGTTGGAGGACGAGGAGATGTACACTTTGCTGGGCGAGAGCTCCTGGCGGGAGGTGAGGTGGTATACTTCGACGTCCCAGGCTTGCCAGTAGAGCGGCTTGTCGTCAAAGATGACCAGCTGTGCAGCCTTCTTGCCCTTCGGTATCAGCTCCCTTTCGGCATTTAGATCGTAAAGCGAAGTGATGGCACCATCAGTGACCTTGACACTGTACTGCGAGTTGCGAAGCTCGAAAGTACCTGGGCTGGTCTCCGAGATGGAGGCGGTTGCTGCAGAGTATGCGGACGCAAGCGGACGGACGGACATGGTGCTGAGTGCATCTCCATGGGCAAGGCCATATTGATGAGTGTGGGGCATGGGTAGCTTGACAATCTCGCTGCGCTTCCAGGGCAGGGTGTTGAGGGCGCAGAGCTTGCTGTTAGCACCGAGCGACTTCTCATCGTCGAAGCCCAGCTCAGACAAGGCTTCGGACAAGAGTCTCTCGCCGGTCGCAAAGACCTCAGCGTAGATCTAATAGAGTCAGCACAATCAAGTCTATAGTTGCTTGAAATGTATACCTTATCGGAGTCGTCGTAGCACATCTCGATGGAGCTGCCGGGCAGGCAGTCGTGGAATTGACACAGCAGCACATTCTCCCACATGTCATCGATGTCCTTCTTGGGATACCTGTATCCGCTGCTCTTGCCGAAGCCATTCTTGATCGTGGCCAGTGTGGCAAGGTACTCGACATCCCTCAGCAGAATCTCGCTCTTTCTGTTGTTGCGCTTGTTGTTCGCTTGCGTCGTGTAGGTTCCGCGGTGAAGCTCGAAATACAGCTCACCGTACCAGGTAACAAGCTCGGTACCATTCTCAACCTTCTTCTCCAGCTTGTCGAAGAAGTCGTCGGCCGAGTCGCCGAGCTTGATACGTGGGAGTAGGCTCGTCTTCTCGCTGATACCGCGGCAGCGGCGCAGCTTCTCGAGATGCTGCCAGGTGGGTCCACCACCACCATCGCCCTTGCCGAAGACGAGCAGTGATGTCTGATCCTGGTCGAGCGACTTGTGCGATGTGACGCTGCGCTTGACGTCGCCGAAATTGGCTTCTGCAGTGTATGTCTCGGACGGCGGCATGTGACAGATGACCTGGCTGTTGTCGAGGGCGACCCAGTTGAAGGTGGTGTGAGGGAAGTTGTTGATGTTGTTCCAACTCAACTTCTGTGTCAAGAAGCGTGTCATGCCCGCAAGACGACAGATCTGGGGCAGCTGCGTCGAGTAGCCAAATGTGTCTGGAAGCCAGAAAGTCTTGCAGCGCTGCCCGAACCTGCTCTCGAAGTATCGCTGTCCGTACAGAAACTGTCTGATGAGCGACTCGCCACCAGGCAGGTTGGTATCGTGCTCAACCCAACTGCCTCCAATCGGCTGGAAGTTGCCCTCCTTGACCTTCTTCTTGACACGGTCAAATGTCGAGGGGTAGTCCTGCTCCAGCCACTTGTACTGCTGCGCCTGCGAGCAACAGAAACGTAGCTCGGGGTACCGTTCGATGAGGTCGCACTGGCTGGACCACGAGCGGTTGACCTTGCGCTTCGTCTCTGCAAAAGGCCACAGCCAGCAGGTATCGATGTGGCAGTACCCAATGCCCGTGACAAGCGCCTCCTTGTCGCCGTCGTACACCTTGTGCGAATCGACGTTGCCGAGATACTCGCGTGCAATCTCCCTGCCTTTCTTGATGCTCTCCGTGCTCCCACCACCGGCAACAAACGCGTCGATGATGCGGTTGGCGACCTGCTGCGCGCCATGGGCCTCGAGCGAGTCCTGCGGGAACTCTCTCGCCGCATCGCCAATCTCCCAGAAATCAAAGTACAGCCCACGCGCTTCGAGGTTCACGGCTACAATGTCCGCCGTGTGCAGCGTGTAGTACCTGTCTGGCTTGGGCGGCTGAATCGAGTCTCCGCCTGGCGCATTGCCAAACATGCCGTTGCACGCCATCTCGATGTAGAATGTGTGCTCCTTGCCATCGCGGAACGCGTCGGGCAAGATCCACTCGACGCGCTCGCCGCCGCCAGTCAGCCCGTGCACCGTGTCTCCATGCTCGGTCCAGATGAGGCCCTCGTTGTCGGCGTCCCAGTGGAACTCGAGGCGCTCCTTCCCCAGCAGGTCCTTGGGCACGGTGAGCTGCACCTTGAACCAGTGCGTCGACCAGCTGGGCCCGAACGAGGCGCCGACGTGCGTGGACGTGAACTCATGGCTCGTGGCTTCTTTGAAGAGCGGGCGCGAGAGGTTGGGCGGCGAGTAGACGGAGAGCTTGACGTGCGCGGTGTCGGTGCCCTTGACGCGGGCTTCATCAAGCTTGCTGCGGCCGTGAGCGATGACGGCATGGGGCATGTATTGGCGTTTTGCGGTCTTACCCAATCAAGCTCTGCTCTCTGTACTGTCCGCCGTCGGTGAACTGCCTCAGTCTGCTCTGGTAGATGCTGTGGATCTGCTTGCCAACGGGTCCAGCCGCCAGCTGCGGGTAATCGCCGGACGGCTTCGACATTGGCACGGTGCGGTTGCAGCACTCTCCTCCCATGGTGGAATTCGGAAGCTCGGCCTGGAGCTTGAGAGGGCTTTGGAACGCGTTTTGAACGTGTAACGGAAGATGGTTGGGATGGATGGCGCTGTCAGCTGCTCGCCCGTGTACCTGCATGACCTCTTGGAGCTCTCCGTGGTGGAGCTTTCCCCGCACGCGACATGGCCCATGCTCCTTCCCGTCGTACCCGATATCGATTGCCAGACTCCACAGTGCGTACCACACCACACAAGCCCGCCGCTGCACAAATCCTTACCAACCCTCGTCTCCACACCACACCAAGACGCGCAAGCAACGCACCGTGCCAAGTCGTGAAGTCACGTGAAGTGAGATTCATCTATTCTGTTGCATCAGACTACGTCCCTATCCTATGATGTACCCCGTTTCCCCAACTATACATAGCCGACCTCCAGTTCCCCAGCACATACCGTACAAGTCCCCGCAAAACAGATACAAGAAAGCGAGTGGCAGCCCAGCCCAGGCGGCGTCACACCGGGAGCACCGAGGGTATAATAGGGCGCAAAAAAATCGAAAAGCGAGTGTAGATGCTCCCCAGCAAAAACCCTGCCATCCATCGTCCGTTCAAAGTTAAAGTGGAAAAAGTGTCGAAGCAGGAACAAAACTGCGTATATTGACAAGTCAAGTCGCGAAAAAAGAAAGCGGCGTGGTCGGAGGCCCGGGCAAGAACGCAGTAGGAACCGTACTGAACGCTGACAGCTGTATGTTTCGGTGCACTACCATTGAAACACCACTACACCATGCTCAAACAAGCCCGAAAACGAAAACAAACAAAAAAAAAGAACTTGTAAACTATCGTGTCACATGTCCTGTCTTCACAGCAACGCCATGAGCGAGAAATAGCTCGGCGAACGACCGGGGGGTTCCTATTTCCCGCTGTTCGCCGCGCTGGCTCGTGGGGTTGGATCAGGGTCCGGTGTGGCCGCACCAGTGCCTTTCGGCGTGCCGACGGCATCCACATCGCACTCGGCGCTATCCTTACCAGGGATAGCAGGGAACATCTCAGGCGGTGTGAGACTCATGTGCGGGACGTCGGGCGTGGCGAGGTTAGCCTCGCGCTCCTCAGCGGCCGTGTCCTCCGTGATGGCTGGGGGCGGGGAAGAGGCGAGCGCAGATTCTGACGCACCCATGTCGGTGTCGATGGAGATGACGCTGCCTCTGCTGTTGGTGCGCATCATCTCGATGCCCAGTTTGGACGAGGATTTTGGCCGCCCGGGGGTCTTGGGGCTGCGTGTCTTTGTCGCCGTAGTGTGGCCGAGTTCTTCATCCTCGTCGTCGCCCGACTCTGCAGACTCGTGTTTGCGCGTCTCGAGGAGACGACGCTTAGCACCCACTTGCTCGGCGGATCGTTGGCGGCGGATCGTTGCCGCTTCCAGCGCAGCCGGTGCGGAGTTTTCGTGGGGTAGATCAGGACGTAGGTCAGGTGCACCTGCTCGCTTCTGCACGACTTCCTTGGCATCCATATCGGCTGCATCTTGTTCTGAGATCCCAAGGCCACTCATCGACTGAGCTATGTCTCGCTCGCGCCAATCATCTGTGCCGTGGCGTGCAATGGTCACTGGCACGTCCTCGCTTGTGCGGCTGTCGTTGTCACCGAAGAAGCTTGAGCTGATTGAGTCCTCGCGGCTGGATCCACGATAGCTGCCAGATACTTGAGAGAACCCTGAAGAGTTCGAGTTCGTGGTGGCGCTATCGTCTTGCCGTGTCGACTCTTGTCGAAGACCTGACGGCATCATCGAGGGATACGTCTGGCTCGGCGCCCAGTTGGGTGGAGGTGACTTCCATTGACACAATCGACCGAGCGTGTCTGTAAGCTTAGCAATTGTGGGGGGCTTCTCGATGAGCGCATCGAAGTAATGTGGTGCCTGCAACTCTTTAAGATAGCCGGTCACTGCGACGATGGGCGTTGTCGTGTTGGCGTTTTTCGTGTCCCTGATCATCCGAGCAACATCGGCGCCATTCACTTGCGGGAGTCTGAATTCCATCATGATGATGTCGAACTTGACTTCACCCATGGCGTAGCGAATGGCTTCAGACCCGTTCGTGACGGTCAAAGTGCGACATCGCAGTTTTTCGAGAAGTTTCTCCATGACGAGTCGAGACACGGGGTGATCTTCGCAGATGAGAACATCGAGCGGACGGAAGAAGGGCCCGTCGCCGAAGCTGATCTGAGACAGTCGCCGAGAGCTCTGCCTCCGGCGCTGCACACGCAGAAGTGCTTTAGCCCGCGAGTCTTCGGTGTCTGACGACGACGGCGACGCATCAAGTACCTGGCTTCGCCGCTTGTGATGACCTGGAAGCAGATCTCGAACAACGTCACCTTCTTGGGAGCCAACCGTCTGGGAACGCGCGCGCGGTGACGAGTTCGTTGTGCCCGTCGACGACTGGCGCGGGCTTGTCCCAAGCTTCTCTGAGAAAGAGGCCGACATACCAGGCCCGGTCTTTGCGGGCTTGCCGGGCGAGATCGCCTCAGGAGAGGGTCTCAAACCCGACAGGCGGTTGGGATCGAAGAGACTGCCCGGCTGGAGAGAACCTGAATTGTTCGTTGAGTGGGACAATGTAGAGGAGCTGCTGGAGTTCTTACGTCGCTCGTGGTGTTGGCCAGTACTGAATTGCACTAGCAATGGAGATGACGGCTGCGACCCTCGACTCGGCGAGGACGCTGGCCCGCTCATTGATGGCGACGCCGGTCTGCCATTTGTTCGAGTGGTCGACAAGGTGCGCTTCAGTGGGCCAGAAAGCATTGGGCTGGTATCGAGGGAGGGCGAAGGCGACTGGATTGTTGGCGATTGTATAGCCGAGCCTGGCTTGTTCTGCGGGAGCATAGCCTCTGCGCGAAGCTTCTGAATGACGTCCTTATTGGCCTTCTCCAGTACAGGCAAGTTCTTGTAGCTGAAGTTGCCAAAGTCGTCGGTAGCCATGGGCTCGCTAAGTCTCCTAGACCTGCCCTCCCGCACGTGAGCTGGGATATGTAGAGGTATGAGGCCTCGCTTCATAGTCGAGACGCTAATCTGTGATCGCACTCGAGACAGCGCATCGTGTGGCCTATCAGGGTAGTCGGCACTAGGAGTGCCGGCAGTAGACGTGCCTTGGTCTTCGAATTCCGGTGAGAAGTTTGCCATAGCTGCGCCTCGGGTGTCGAAGTACTCTGTGTCTTCTGGGTTTTCAGGCGCCGGAATGAACGAAGCCTCGTCGTCGCGCAGAGACTCCCAGTTGAGATCAGCAAACCAGGGGTGGGCTCTGATCTCTTCACCACCGCTCGCATACTTGTCCTCAGCATTGGCACCCAGACGCTTCGCGGGGTCAGAGCACATCAAGCGATTCATTAGGTCCTTGGCATCATCCGAGATATCATACACATCGTCGTCATCTGAAGGCCAGTCGATTCTGCGCGCAAGTATGTTCTGGAAGACTTCATCCGGTGTATCGGCGTGAAACGGCGGGTATCCGTATAAGCACTCGAAGAGAATGCATCCAAGAGACCACCAATCGCTGACTTCGTCCTGACCATTGCCAGCGATCGTTTCCGGGGCTAGATAGTCAGGAGTACCAACGAACTTCCTCTCGTTGCTGTCTTCTGGATCGAACAGTGCCATGTGCGGAGGAGGCATGTGTGATGTAGCAGGTGGGGTCTGATTCTGAGCTTGCGCAACAGCAGAGCTGCTCATTGTAGGCGCGAGGATGTCTGGAGACCCATTGTCGCTGAAGTCCTCTTCTTCGATGGGTGTTCGTTGTCCAGGTCCGAAGTTGGAGTCGGCGATCGAGAACCGGCGGAACATTGCTTGCAGCGCATCGCTGTCAGCACTATCGCTACGATTACCTGATGCTCTCCTGGACTGCTCGCGGCTGTGAGATGTGTCTCGGCTGAGGCTGAAGTAGGATGGCTGGCCGAGATCGCCAGCGAGAGCAGGCGTCATTGATGGGGTCGTGGACGGCGAAGGGTTGAGGTCGAATGACGCAGAACGAGAGGCAGACGAGCCAGAGGCAGCGCGATGGAACGGCCCAGCCTTGAGAAGGTCGGGGGCAGCCTCATTGGGATCAGACTTCAAAGCACGCTTCTGACGACCAATCATACCCATGCGTGACAGACCAAAGTCAGTCAGCTTCAAATGGCCCTTTGCATCAATCAAAAGGTTGTCTGGCTTGAGATCGCGATGGACGATGCTGCGGCTGTGCAAATGTTCGACACCAAGAACCACTTCGGCAAGGTATTTCTTCGCCCAATCTTCAGGTAGCGTACCGAGAACTTTGATGAGCGAAGCGCAATCACCGCCATTCAGGTACTCCATGACCAGGTACAGGTAGTCCTTGCTCGAGAATGTCCAGTACAGCTTTGCAACGAAGTCACTCTCGCCTTGCCACATCATGATAGCGCGTTCGGCCTTGACGTTGGTGACCTGGTTCTTGGCTACCATGTCGGCTTTTTTCAGGACCTTGATCGCATAGTATTCCCCGGTAGACTTCTTCTTCGCAAGGTACACGCTTCCAAACGCACCTTTGCTGATGGGCTTGACGACCTCGAAGTCTTTGATTGAGGGAGGAACGGCGCGTGGCTGCGGCTGGGTGACTGGCAAGAGGCGAGGCGACAAGGCTCTCGGCCCGTCAGACCCTGCGGTGGACGATTGTCTGCGGTGATGATTGATAGCCATCGACATGGCGGGCGACGAAAACTCGGTTGTCGTAAGTACGGGCGATGTGATCGGTGACTGCAACGCCTCAGCGGCGCTGGGCAATCGAGGCTTTGTCATTCTCAGTGGTGAAGATGGCGGCGCCTGGTGCATAGTGCGGGCTGGTGACTGTTGACGGCTGGACAGAACGCTTGGTAAGATCAAGCTCTTTCGTTTCCTTTCTCGTGAGCTAGCCACTCTGCTCAAGCCAAGTTCTGAGCTTGCAGGCGAATCTGCTCTTCGAGGAGCAGATAGTACCGAAGAGCGCATACTGGTGTCGCTGTCCATGCCTGCATCGCTCTCAAAATGCATAGACCTCCGGTTGCTCTGACTCGCAATACTGATCGCACCGGCGTGCGACCTAGGCGTTTGGCAGCCTCCTCTTGGGCTACTTGACCGGTTTGAATCCGCCACAGATGACTCTCGCCGACCAACTCGCATTGGTAGAGATGTGTCTGAAGCGTTGCATAGAACATGGGCCATGGCTGAAGGAGCGTCGAAGGATCCAGGGAAGATTCCCTCGTCGCCACCAGGTATGTCATTCACATCTGGCTGCACTTCTTCCTCGGCCTGCTCGTCGTCCGAGGAACTATCCTCTCCTGCTGCGATGCGAGCAGCTTTGACAATGGCAGCCTCTATGCACTCTTGGACCAGTATGTCGAACTCGATGCGCAGTCGTTCAGAGTACTCCAGGATCTGACGGTGTCGAAACACGGCATCAATCTTGGCTTTTGCAAGTCGATGCGTGTCCTCGCACAGCAGCTTCAATCCTTCGCTAAAGTCTGTCGAGCCTGAAGTGGGTGACTGCCATTGCAGCACCTGCGAGATGCGGTTCTCCGACTGCGGTGACTGCGTCCGGATCTCAGATGCGTTGCGAATGTTGTCCTTGATGGCTGGTGTGTTGACTTCGAGCGTGGTGTCGCACAGATCGAGCACTAGTTCAACGATGCGCGCAAGTGGCCGTCGGACAGCAAAGGATCGTGCGCGGTGGTGCCCGAAACCGGAGGCGCTGGACCGCTCCCTCGATCTCGAAGGCGGGGAAGCGGGTGAATTGCGTCCAGAGGGTGTGCCGGACGAAGGATTCGACAGCGGTTGGATGAGGTGGCCGTGGTACTCGGGTGGCTGAATCAGGGCTGCTGGGTCGGTAGGAGACGCCCTTGACGGTCGTGCCTGCGCCTCCAGGGTATCGAGGACTCTGACAATAGCGTTGCGGTGCTCGGAGAGGGTTTCTTGCGCCATCTGAACGTCCATCTCGGCGCGGTGTTCTTGCAGACACAGCTCGGAGTGCTTCTCGAACCACCAGGGGGTGATCTGGCGTTCGCAGATTCGGCAGAGTACAGGCAGCGGCGGCGGATGGTTTCTTGGGTCATTGGCCCCTTGCTCGGCCAGTCCAGTCAGGTAGTGGGCGAGGACCTCGGCGCCGACGCCCAGAGACTCGACGAGCTCCTCGGGGAGGTCGATGGTGACCTCGCGGAGCACTGATGGGCGGATCATCCACATTGTCTAGCGCTGTTAGCATCTCACTGCAGCCCAGGCGGGGTTGACGTACATGACTCTCGGCCCCTGTTGCACGGTCGTACACCATGATGCCCTGCGCCTCGAGGTTCAGGATCTGCTCCTCCTCGTCGTCGGTCTTTGTTGGCGACGGCGGCACCGTGTGCTGCTCCCCGTCGACGGTCGGCCGGGAGCGTTTGCGCCGGAGCATTGAGTGTGGCCCCATGCACACGGAGAAGCGGGCGATGTGACTGCGCGAGTCGTACTTCCTGACCGACTCGATGGTCTTGGCGAAGCCATCTTGGCCGGCGAAGATGATGTCGAGGACGGGCTTGCCGACGACGGCGTCAGGCGAGGTGCCCACCACGTCCCACCACGAGGGGCTGACGTAGCGGACCTTGGCGGCCAGGTCCAGGTCCATGATGATGTTCAGGCTGTGCTCGGCGGCCTCCTTCAGGTCCTCGCGCTCCTCGCGCATGTCCTGGCTGACGGTGCGCTCCATGTTGACGCGCTGCTGTGCGCTGCTCCCCGAGGCCTGCTTCCGCAGGGCAGTGACTGCGGGCGGGGCCAGCGTGGTGGGCTGCACCTCGTACATGATGGTCGGTGCGGCGTGTGGTGCGAGCGATGGAGCTGCTAGAGCGGCCGGTGGAATTGGGCTAGGCGCAGGCGGCGGCCAGGACCATGG